GCTGGCTGAGTGTAAATTCTACAACTAGAAGGAAAGAAAAGCACACTGCGAGCGGGAGGAGCTGCGGAGGTGGAGTGCAGAGGTACGGGGGCTCACGCGCGGAAAGGGTCTGGCACCTGAGGACGCGGCTGTCTTTTTGAATCCAGAGGGAGACACAAGCTCCCCACGGCTCTGAAATCCGGTTCCGGGAAGTCTCTGGGGACCCAGGACTCATACGGGGAGATACTGGACTGTCTGGCAGCGGGCGAGCTTGAGAGCGGCTTTCCCTCAGAGGTGCTTGCAGCCATTGCAGGGACACTGGGACTCGCGACTCCTTAGGGCGGGGCTGAGGCTCCGCCATAGCTGCTTTCTCCGCCCTTTGATTTCTTGAGACCCCGCCCCGCCCAGGCTGCGGCAGAGGCTTTTGCATATGAATGCCCCGGCCATTTGCAACCTGTAATTACCTAACCGCAGCCGGGCCAGATAGACCCAGAGCTTCCAAGAGAAGGCCCAAGGCCCCACAGCGGCTTGCATTGCTACACAGCTGAGCATCATCAGGGCACTTCCAAACTCCAAAAAAAAGGAAGGGGAATCTGCAGTTCTCTTCATAGTTCCTGTTGTGTAACCTCAGGCAGAGGCTAAATTAGCACCTCCTTAGATCCAAGAGCCACTGTACCCAGTGGTCAGAGGGGAACCATCCAGATCACAACTCCTCAGATCCATAAGGGACACACTCAGGGTGCAGTCTCAGTGAGCACCAAAGCCCCACTGAAGCAAGTCTTGCCCCAGAAGGGTGTCTCCAGCACAGAAGTTCTCCCACTGCAGACACAGCTGATTCTCGCTGCCAATTGCCCTGGAGGTCAATTCCTCCCAGTGATCCTACAACAACCAAGGCATATCTACAACAAGACTGTGCACAAAGCCCACAAGGGGGTGCACCAAGAGTGTCCACCTCAGGTAATTGGGGAGGCTGAGCCACTGGGCCCTACAGGACACCTAGCACACAAAGCCACTCTATCAACACAGGGAAGCAGCCAAAATGCGGAGACAAAGAAACAGGTCACAAATGGCAGAAATGGAGGAAAGCAAACGACTGGATATAGAGTTCAAGGCCACGTTTATAAGGTTTTTCAAGAATTTTATGGAAACCGCTGATAAATTTAATGAGTCCCTCAATAAGTATAGTGAGACCATGGAGGACATGAAAAAGGACCAACTAGAAATTAAGCATACACTGACTGAAATAAAGAATAATCTACGGAGATCCAACAGCAGACAAGAGGATCCCAAAAATCAAGTCAAAGATTTGAAATACAAAGAAACAAAAAATACCCAACTGAAAAAGAAAAAAGAAAAGAGATTCCAAAAATATGAAGATAGTGTAAGGAGCCTCTGGGACAACTTCAAGCATACCAACATCAGAATTATAGGGGTACCAGAAGAAGAGAGAGGGCAAGATATTGAAAACCTATTTGAAGAAATAATGACAGAAAACTTCCCCCACCTGGTGAAAGAAATAGACTTCCAAGTCCAGGAAGCGCAGAGAACCCCAAACAAAAGGAACCCAAAGAGGACCACACCAAGACACATCATAATTAAAATGCCAAGAGCAAAAGACAAAGAGAGAATCTTAAAAGTAGCAAGAGAAAGACAGTCAGTTACCTACAAGGGAGTACCCATACGACTGTCAGCTGATTTCTCAACAGAAACCATGCAGGCCAGAAGGGAGTGGCAAGAAATATTCAAAGTGATGAATAGCATGAACCTGCAACCAAGATTACTTTATCCAGCAAAGCTATCATTCAGAATAGAAGGTCATAGAAAGAGCTTCACGGGTAAGAAAAAGCTAAAGGAGTTCATCACCACCAAACCAGCATTATATGAAATGCTGAAAGGTATTCTTTAAGAAGAGGAAGAAGAAAAAGGAACTCTTACCATTTGCCACAGCATGGATGGAACTGGAGAGTGGATAAATACCACATGATCTCACTCATTTGTGGAATATAATGAACAACATAAACTGATGAACAAGGACTGATCCAGAGACGGAGAGGCATTGATTGGACTGTCGGGCTTTGGAGGGAGGGTAGGGGAGGGTGGGGGTAAGAGGGAAAGATCAACCAAAGGACTTACATGCAGGCATATAGGCCTAACTAATGGACACGGACAACGGGGGGGGGGGGGGTTTGAGGGCATGAGCGGAGGGGGGGGTAGAGGGTAACGTGGGGACAAGGACACATATGTAATATCTTAATCAATAAAAATATATTAAAAAAAAAAGAAAAGAAAAAACACATAGAACATAAGCTGATAGAACTAGTTACAAGGAGAAATAGACAAAGCTACAGTTATATAAAGACTAGAGGCCCAGTGCATGAATTTGTGCATGAGTGGGGTCTGGCAGATCGCAGCCAGGCCTGTTGGGAGGAGGAGACAGTGGGAGGTTGGCCACCAGCCCACCACAATTGAGGTTAGATCAGGGCCAGGCCAGCTGGGGGGAGGGGCTGCAGGCAGTTGGCAGGCCAGCCCTGCCCCTGATTGGTGTGGGCGGCGGGGATGATCTGGGGTGGGGCAGCCTCGGGGGAGAGGCTGCAGGAGGTTGGCTGGCTGGCCCCACCCCCTGATTGGGCCTGTTTGCTGGCCACAGTGGGCATCATAGCAACAAATCATTCTGGTTGTTACCGTGTTCCGGTCACTGGCTTTTTATATATATAGACTAGAGGCCCAGTGCACAAAAATTGGGAGGAGCTTCAGTCACCCGCCAGCCTGAAAATGGCCCTCAGCTCCTCACACAGACTGGCCAGGCACCCCAGTGGGGACCCCCACCCTGAAGGGGGTGTGCCCTCAGCCCCACTTGTGCCCTCTCACAGTCTGGGACCCCTCGGGAGATAACGAACTGCTGGCTTAGGCCCACTCCCGGGTGGCAGAGGGCAGGCCCAATCCCTAGGTGCCTGCCCCGCAACCCCTGGTCTGGCTCAGAACAAGGCCGATTGGGGAGTTGGGGCACCGCCCCCTGTCATGCACAGAGCAGGGCGGATCGGGAGATTGCGATGCCACCCTCAGTCACGCTCAGGGTAGGGCCAATTGGGGGGTTGGGGCGCCGCCCCTGTCACACTCAAGGCAGGGTTGATGGGAGGTTGCGGCGCCACCCCCTGTCATGCACAGAGCAGGGCAGATCAGGGGGTTGGGGCGCTGCCCCCTGTCACACACAGAGCAGGCCCATCAGGGGGGTTGGGGCTCCTACCCTGTGTCACACAGAGCAGGGCCAATCAGGGGGTTGGGGCGCCTTCCCCTTTCAGGAACCGAGTAGGGCGGATAGGGAGGTTGTGGCCCCGCCCCCTGTCACATACAGAGCCACAGGGCGATCAGGGGGTTTGGGCGCTGCCCCCTGTCACGCTGCTCCAGGGGCCAGGAGGCCTCGCGGCTCTGCTGATCCCAGTGCTAGGAGGCCTCACTGCTCCGCTGTTCCCGGTGCTGGGAGGCCTCGCGGCTCCGCTTGACACAGGGGCAGTGAGGCCTTGCGGCTCTGCTGATCCTGGTGCTGGGAGGCCTTTGCTGCTCTGCTGATCCTGGTGCTGGGAGGCCTTTGCTGTTCTGCTGATCCCGGTGCTGGGAGGCCTTTCTGCTCTGCTGATCCTGGTGCTGGGAGGCCTTTGCTGTTCTGCTGATCCCGGTGCTGGGAGGCCTCGTGGCTCTGCTGATCCCTGTGCTGGGAGGCATATTACCCTTTTACTATATAGGGTAGAGGCCTGGTGCACGAGTGGGGGGCCGGCTAGTTTGCCCTGAAGGGTGTCCTGGATCAGGGTGGGGGTCCCGCTTGGGTGCCTGGCCAGCCTGGGTGAGGGGATGATGGCTGTTTGCAGCTGGTCACACCCCCTTCAGGGTGGGGGTCCCCACTGGGGTGCCTGGCCAGTCTGGGTGAGGGGTTGAGGGCCATTTTCAGGCTGGCAGGTGACTGAAGCTCCTCCCAACCTCTCCTTTTTTCCTTTTTTTTAAATTCTGGAATTTATTTACCTTCTATGGCTGTCACTGGAGCTGAGAACTGGCTTTAGCTCAGACCTCGACTGCTGAAAGCAGGTTTCTGTGCTTTGTTTACCTTCTGTATTTGAAACTTTGTTGCGACTCCAGCTCTGAGATCCTGGCTGACTGAAAGCAGGTTTTGTTTAGCTTCTATATTTGTAACAATGTTTCTTAGAGAACAGCCCAGAGCTGGGCTGCTGCAGGCGGGGAACGTTGGCTTCCTCCGTCACTGGAGCAAGCAAGCCTCCTGTTCACGTCAGTTGCCTGGCTGCCGGCCGCCATCTTGGCTGGCAGTTAATTTGCATATCGCCCTGATTAGCCAATGGGAAGGGTAGCAAAGTTACGGCTAATTACCATGTTCCTCTTTTATTAGATAGGACTAGAGGCCTGATGCACGAAATTTCTGCAAGAGTAGGCCTTCCTTTCCCTGGCTGCCCACACCAGCCTCCCTCCAGCACCTGGGACCCGGGCTTCCCTTGAAGCCTGGCTTCATATGGAAGGTCTTCTGGTCTAATTAGCATATTATGCCTTTATTATTATAGATATTTGACACATCTGTCTCAGTAACTGATAGAACAAGCCAATTTTCTTATTTTTTAATGATTTAATTTAATTTGTTATTATTTTTTAATCCTCATCCGAGGATATTTTTCCATTGGTTTTCAGAGAGAGTGGAAGAGAGAGGGAAAGACAGAGAGAAATATTGATGTGAGAGAAGCACATCGATTGGTTGCCTCCTGCATGAACCCAGACCAGAGTCCAGGCTGGGGAGGAGTCTGCAACCGAGGTACGTGACCTTAACCAAAATCAAACCTGGGACCCTTTGGTCTGCAGGCTGACACTCTATCCACTGAGCCAAACCAGCTAGGGCAACAAGCTGATTTTAGAAATCAGGTAAAATGTAAAATATTAGAATGACATGATCAGCAAATGTGACCTGGTGGACACACAAGGAACAGTGCACCTAAAAACTGGAGAAGATGCTTTATCTTCCAACTCACATTGAACATTTACAAATCCAGCCACCTGACGGTCCACAAAGCAGGTCTCAACAGCTTAGAGACTGAAATCATTTAGAGCATCTTTGGCTGTAAGGCAAATAGGTAGAGATCAATTTAAAATGATAATTAGAACATTCCATGTATTTGGAAATTAAAAAACTTTTAATAGCCCAAAGGTCAAATAAGTAATCACATGGGTGGGAATTGGAAAACATGTTTTTAAACGAGTTATAATAAAAACACCTGTTGAAACGTTTGAGATAGAGCTAACATCATGCTTAGAGAGAAGTTTATATTCTTAAATGCATATATTAGAAAAGAAGAAAGACTAACTAATTAATTAGCTGAATATCATATCAAAAACTAGACAGCAAACTTAATCCCTTTAGTCTTTACCACTTCTCTACCTTTTCCGTTCACTTGCTCTCGCCGGAAACAGTGATCTATGCGTTCCTTAGGTTCAGGGATCATGTCTGTTCTTCGTATCCCCATTGCTTATTAAAGTACCTTGTACATGTTGATACTTGTTTGAACTGAACTGAATTGAGCTCATAGTTAGTGCCTTAGCGTTGTTGGAAACCGGGGATCTCATATTAAAGCACTGACAAAAGTCAGGCAGGTGATGTGATGCATGAGGCCACCAGGATGGGGAGGGTAGCAAACTGGTGGGCATGTGCCCCATTTTCAGGGAAGACTGCTGCTGTTGGCCCTGCTGATTGTTGCCATGGGAGAATGCTGGCATGGGATGGCTAGTCTCCTCCATTTGTTTATAAGAAGGCAGAAATTCAGATTTTGATGTGAAATCTCCATTTTTAAAAAAAATTTAAATAATTTTTATTGATTTCAGAGAGGAAGGGAGAGGGAGAAAGAGATAGAAACATCAATGATGAGAGACAATCACTGATTGGAAGCCTCCTGCATGTCCTCCGACTAGGGATGGAGCCCACAACCCGGGCATGTGCCCCTACCGAGAATTGAACCATGACCTCTTGGTTCATAGGTCAATGCTCAATCACTAAGCTGCCGGGAGCCGGTCCATCTTTGCTGTTTCAAGGGACCTGGCATATATGGCATACTGTTCTTAAAATGTTTGCTAACCTTCTTGGCACTATGTGTTTTAACCAAGGTCTCTGAGAAAGGTTGTTTCCCCAGGTAGGGATTTTCCCCTGAAGTTAGGGAGGGAATAAAACCTCTTAACTAGTGCCAGGTGGGTAATTAATCACTTTAACTACGAACAATCATGCTTAAGCTACATAATCTTTACTCCCTGGAATGAAGATAAGAAATGCCCTAACCTTTGTAATAGAGATTGATAAGATTGAATCAACTGGTATAAATACAGATGTAATAAGACAGAACTTAGAATACAGAACTTAGAACACAGAACCAAGAGAGACAGAACCTAGGCACAGAACCTACACAGAACGTTCTCTAGAGACAGAAGAACTTCGCTGGAGAGAACATGGCAAAAGTTCCTGGACAGAAACTGGCCTCAGAACCTAGAGACAGAACTTAGCGAGAGAACATGGCAAAAGATCCTGGACTGAACCTGACTACAGAAATTGGCAAGAGAACCTGACTAGAACCTGGTGACTGAACCTGGCTGGAGAACCTGGACAGAACCTGGCTGGAGAACCTAGCGAGGGAACATGGCTACTGAACCTGACTATAGAACATGGCAAGAGAACCTGACTAGAACCTGGCTACAGAACCTGGCTGGAGAACCTGGAGAACCTGGAGAACCTGGCTGGAGAACCTAGCAGAACTTCGCTGGAGATCCAGACCAGAACTTGGCTGGAGATCCTGGCTAGAGATCCTGGCTAGGCTGCTGATCAACTGAATGCTGTCTCCATGTCATTCCTTCTTCGCCAACTCTGTCCACACCTTTGGGGACCCCTGGACCCGCTGGGGTTGGACCCCGGCACTAAGCCACACCAGCCAGCTGAAATTTCCATTTTTAAAGTCTCAGAAATGAATTTTTTTTTTTTTTTAAAAATACAGCTAGTGCCAAACCAAACTATATGGTTCTATGGCTGCCAGTTTGAAACCTTGAGTTTTACTTCACACCTTAAGAGATGGGAATGTATGTTACATCTAAATACGTATTTCACATCCAAATGCCCTGGCGAATAGACTCTTGAGCATCAAGCATATTTCGCCTGAAGAAAAGGATAGTGGCTGCTTCCTAATTAGATTTCTGGGCCATACCTGTAAGAGGTTTGCAGGGTTTTAGAAAGCCTTCTTTGTAGCTGTTTACCCCACCTGAATCAGACACATGTTCCCAATGATTTTTTCCTCCTTTTGTTGTAATATTCTTAATGACACATTCTGATTTTTCCCTCTGTTTTGTACACATTTGTCTCCACTTCTGCTTTTGGGTATTTATGGAAAATATGCTCTTGCATTGTTTTTCAGCTATAACATTTGCATGCAATTATGACACTTTAAAAAATAGGAGACCAGGGGGTTTGAAAAAAAATAATCTTTTGGGAGGGTAAGCAAATGGAAAGGTCAGCCTTTAATTTTGTTAACATCCCAGTTACATGGTGGCAACCCTTATGATGATTTCAGTCCCTTGCGGTGCTGGTCTCTTTTTGTTCCAGGGACAGGGACCAAGCTCAAGCGAGGAAGAGTTGATTGAAAAGCTCATGTTTTCCACTGGCCAGCAGAGGTCACTATTTCAAAGTTGTTAGAGGGAAAATGTCTACAGTTCACAGGACTTCTCTTTTTGTCTGGAGGTTTTATTCATGGTACTGGTGGGAGATTTTTTTATTCATATCTTTTGGTATTTTCCAATGTTCTTTAAAAATCAGTTATTTTTATAGATTATGTTTAAAAGTGTTGATGGCTTCAGTGGGCTTCTGTAGACCATTGCTTATGGAAAGATAACCGCAGCCATTTACTGAGCTCCCAAGAGGTGCTGGGCTCTGCGCTCCACACTCCACACACATTATCTTTAATAGCCACCTGTCTTCCAGGGCTGTTGTGAAGTTTCCCTCCGTTTTCTGGAAGAGGAGCCGGAGGCGAGAAGTGAGATGCTAGTGGATATGGGAATCAGATGCAGGGAAATCTATCTTCAGAGCTGGCTCTTAAGTTTTACAGAGCTGTATGTTTTCCCAAATAAAAAATATTTTAGCAGTTTGAAACAACAATTCCTTGAAATGTAGAGTGATTTATATAAAAAAAATACATATAATTTTTTAAATCCTCACCTGAGGATGTTGTGTGTGTGTGTGTGTGTGTGTGTGTGTGTGTGTGTGTGTGTGTGTTTATTTTAGAGGGAGAGAAAGGGAAAGAGAAAGATCAATGTGAGAAACATCAATCGGTTGCTTCCCACACATGCCCCAATAGGGGGATCAAACCTCAACCTAGGTATGCGCCCTGAGTGGAAATCAAACCCGTAACCTTTTGGTGTATGGGACGATGCTCCAACCAACTGTGCCACCAAGCCAGGGCAAGAGAAGTATATATTTTTGAATGAAATCTTAGAAATAGCTTGCTGGTTTTCCTTTTGGAAATTTCAGCCTATTATTTGTTAGGAGAAGATAGACTTGACTTCTTGGTCTTCCTTGAAAATGGGGACTGTGATGTTCTCTCAGGCCTTGCTTCTTTTCCGCATGCAAACAAATATTAATAATACAGTATTTCCAAAAATGTGTCAAGATTAAGACCTATTTATGCTAAAGTGTACTGAAAAGATTTCTTATTTAAGTTTACTTGTCCAACTGAGAACTTCCTAACTTTCAAAAGAAGTAAACTGTCTGCAAATGAAAAGATAAACCTGTTTTAGTGCACTTTTATTTGTTCACTACAGGCCCGGTGCATGGAAATTTGTGCACTCGGGGGGGGGGGGCGGGAGGGGGGGGGGATTCCCTCAGCCTGGCCTCCCTCCACCATAGGCAACCTGCACCCTGATTGTGGGATGGTGCCAGCTGGTGAACGGCCTGCCCTGCCCCTCCCATAGCCCCCCTACCACTGCCACCGCAGCCCTCCTGATCCCCGTTCACCGTCCCCTCCCTCTGCTTGCTGGCACCCGCCTTGGCTGGCCAGCCCCACCCCACACTGACCTGTCATTCCTCTGTTCAGTTGATTTGCCTATTAGCCTTTTATTATATAGGATGTTTTAAGTAGCCAGAAAGTTTCATAAAGCTGGAGTGTTCTGAGAAGACGGCTGTGTTCAGCACTAGGCGATCAGTGGTCAGTTTGGCACCCACCACCCACCTGGGTTCGCACTGAAGGGGTCACGTGAGAAGAGTAAGAAAAGGCTTTGTCTTTTTCAGGTTGCTGTGAAAGGATGTTTGGTTCTTATAAATTGGCATGGCATAGTGATGTCTATTGTTCTTCTTATGAATTTTTCAATCTTCCATGGTTGCCATTAGCTAAACCCCATATTACCCTTTTAGATCTTCTTAATTAACTATAAGACAAAGCTGGTTTATTGTTGTTATCAGCACATATTCAACACATGTTCACAGGGATGGCAAGCAGCTCAGAGTAGTAAAACTACCTCTAGTGGGGAGAGAGACAATGGATCTAAGTACACATTGTGTACACATTGTGTGATGGTAAGTTCTGTGAAGGAGAAGCAGATAAGGGGGTGGGGCTCTATTTTATAGAGGGTGGTCAGGAAAGACGTCCCTGATAAGGTGAGGTTTGGCCAGAGGCCGGAATGAGGTCAGGGAGAGAATACGTGGATATTTGGGGGAGGAATTCCAAAAAACAGGACTCTAAGACCAGAGGGGTGCATGTCTGGTAGAGTCAGGGGATAGTAAAGTGCACAAGATGGCTGGGCACAGTGGTTGGTGGGGAATGCTGTGTGGTAGCCGTGAAGGTGGTGAGAGACAGACAGGTCTGCGACCATTGTGAAGGACGACTTGATGAGAGTTACAGGTGGGATGGTTGTGGGGTTTGAAAGGAAACAAGTCATTAATATTGACTCCAATTTGGCCTGAGCAGTTGGTGCAATGAAGTTGCCATTTACTATATAAGAAAGGAATGGTAATATGGGAGTGGGATTGGGGAGTGAGATGAGTTAGTTATGTTTGGCTGAATATAACTGAAAAATACAAAATAATAATGGACTAAGTAATGTAGAGATTTATTTATTTATTTATTTATTTATTTATTTATTTATTTATTTATTTATAGTTTATAAAACAAGATTAAAAAAATGAACTGTCTTGCCCTCACCAGTTTGGCTCAGTGGACTGAAGGTCAGCTCACAGACTAAGAGTCCCAGGTTCACTTCCAGTCAAGGGCATGTACTTGGGTTGCAGGCTCGATGGGTTGCAGGCTCGATCTCTTGCCTCCATCCCCAATCTGGGCACATGCAGGAGGCAACCAATTGATGTCTTTCTCTCTCTATCTCTCCCCCTTCCTTCCACTGTCTCTAAAAATCAATGGGGAAATATCCTCAGGTAAGGATTAATAAAAAACAAACAACAAACAAACAAACAAAAGGTTGTTTCAAGGTGACTCCCTGAGGTAATCAGTGACTCAGGCTCATTCTAGCCCCAAGGTGTGGTCCTCATCCTCAGGACCCCTCTGGCTACCTGAACTAGAGCCATCATGTTTGCATTCCTGGTGACAGAAGGAAGAAGAAAAAAGAGAATAGAGTACCCACTTCCTTTTAGGAAGACTTCCTAAAAGTCCACACACTTACTTACCCTTGCATCTGACTGGCTGAAGCGTAGTCATATGGCCACATCTGGCTACAAGGAAGTCTGAGAAATGGCTTTTCAAGGTTGTGTGTAACCCCTAAATAAAATTGGGGTTCTGTTACGGAAGTTTTGAATGAATATTAAAGTAAGCCACCAGCTCTGTTCCCAAGAGTTTGGAGTTTAATTTTGGAAAAAGAAAGTTCTAATCTTATCTCCAGCACTATCAAGCTGTGTGACCAAGCTGACATTCCACATCACTAAACCTCTATTTCAACTGCAAAATAAAAGAATTGGACTGAAATATATTTAGGTCCCTTTCTAACCCTAATATTCCATGAGTCTTTGAGTTTGTCATATAGTAAGGTAAATATAAGTTTTAGAAAAAAGTATTAGAAGAAAATATTATGCAAGAAGATGACTATCAAATGTCTTAAAACTGATTTTTTGCAATTGAAAAATTAATTTCAAACTTATTCATGAATGCAGTTCCTTTCTTCTATTTTTCAGAATGATTTCTGCATATGGGTATTGATGATTTTAATATGTGCCTGAAAGGAAGCATGTGAATTTCATAATACTAATATGTATTGGATGAACTTGATATTTATTTTATAGTAAGAAAAATTTAATAAAAATGTGAATAATCAACTAATCCATTACTTAACTTCATATACACATTTCTGTTAGCCTCATTTACCAACTTTTGACCTGTTCAACCAATTTAGAACAGGTATTCAAATCAAAAACTACAGGATATCTTCATGTACATAGAAAATCTATGGCTTTCAGGAGGTCTGCATTTTATTATTGGGAATACACTAAGTACACAAATAGGCCTGTACAAAGACAAGAACAGTTTTTCTGAGAGGGGTTTCACGTGTTTTCTGTTTGGGACGGAAGCAGGCTATACAGAGAAGGGGCCATTTGTGGTGGCCTTGGAAATTTGGATGGGCCTTCCTGGGTGTGGTCAGCCACAAAGGCGTTCTAGATGAAAAGAAATGAAGCATCAAGCTACAGGGAATGTGCCAGTTCAGGAAAGAAGGATGTGGGGGCATGATGGAAAGATCATGGTATTTAGGTCAAGTAGACCTGGTGCTAAATCCTGAATGTACCACTTGCTAGCTGAGAGCTTGGGCATGTCACTTAAGCTTTTAGGGTCTCATATTCCTCATCTGTAATAGGAGACAAGATTACCGTCTTCATAGGGTTATTGTATGTGCATATGTAGTATCATCTGCAATAATTTATACACAGGAACTTGCCACAGGGCATGGTACTCTGTGCTTGCATAAATAATAAGCCCCTTCTCCTATATGGGTAACCGCTATTGTCCCTCATCACTTTATACGCTGTCAAATATTAATGCTCTTATGAGCAACAATTTTACCTGCATCTTATATTGTCTGATTCTGTTTCCCTACAAATACAGTGACATGCTGAAAAACAACTAAAGTTTCTATGGAAAAGCAATTGCATAGTAAAGAGAATGAGGTAAGGGTATAACCTAGTGACAGGGTAATTGTGGCATATTTGCTTCCAGAAGCCACTGTGAAGGATGAGCAATGCCTTGGTCCATCCAGGGGAAGTTACAAACTCTAAACTGCTATTCTTGCAGACACACAGCCTTTCTCTTCCCCTCCCCTTCTTCCCCACCTCCCCCACCCCAAAACACAGGCTTCTCACGTTTACTTCCTACCTAAAGCTGCACTTCAGCCTCTTCTCTCCATTGCCAGCAACCTTGGCTCCTCAGCACCTTCTTCAGCACTTCGGACTGAAGTTCAGCTTCCTTAGGAAGTAGGAGGGAGGGTTCAGGCAGGACTCAGGGAGACTCAGCTGGGAAACTGGCCCAGTGATTCAGACAAGAGATGACGCGGGCGTGGCAAGGAACATAGCGGTGGAGATGAGAGAAGCACTCACACAACGTACTTAGGAAGTAGGAAGCATAGGCCTTGGAGTCAGAGGTGAACGGAGGGAGAGAAAGAACCCTAGGATAACCCCAGCTTGGTGGTGTCATCATTCATGTAAGAGAAAACACAGGATGAGGAGGGGAGAGAGGAGGAGAAGGAAAGCATTAGTTTAGTAGAACTTGGCTTCCTAAGCCACTTAACAGTTTCTATTTCTAGAGAAGGTCCGATTAACCAGAAGCTTTATTTAGAAGAGACTCTACTTTTAAGAATAATTGATCTCTCCTAATCCTTTACTCCAGGCAGCTATTGATCTGTTCTCTAAGTTTTGTCTTTTACAGAATGTCACATAAATGGGATCATACAGTGTGTAGTATTCTGAGTCTGGCTTCTTGTACTTAGCTTAATGTATTTGATTCATTTATGTTGTTATGTATAGCCATAGTTCATTCTATATTATTACTGAGTGGATTTACCAGACTATTCATTCTGCAGTTGAGGGACTTTCGGTTTTTATTTTGGAGGATTACATATAATTATTAATTTTTGATTAAGTCCAGTTTAACACATTTTTTTCTCTTATGGATTGTGTTTTTTGCATTGTATCAAATTTCTCTTTACCTAACCTGAAGTCACAAAGATTTTCTTCTAGAAGTTATAGCTTGGCATATTGATCCATTTTGAGTTAGTTTTTGTAGTGTGTGTGCAGTATAATTGAGTTTCATTTTTTTATATACATATGTGCAGTTGTTTCAGCATCTCTTATTTTCTGGTTGGTTTGATCTTTCTCTACCTTCTCATTGAGTTTCCATGAATTGCTTTTGTACCTATGACAAAATGTATTGGCCATATATGGGTTCCATAGAATGTGGAATATTCTATTCCACTTGATGTTCCTTTCTATTCCTAGTTTAAGCTGTTTTTTATTCTCTAACTAGAGGCCCCACACACGAAATTTGTAGATGGGTATGGTCCCTAGGCCTGGCCTGCAATCAGGCCGCCACCAACCCCCAGTTTTCCATTCGCCATCGGGTGATTGGAGCCTGCCGGCCGGGTGGAGGAACCAAGAGGTCAGCCATTCCACCCACTCTTCTGGCCCCGCCCCGACAGGGGGTTGCCCTCTGTGTGTGGGTGACCGGTGGGCCGGGGGCCTTAGCCCGGTGCCACCCGAGTCCCCCACCACCCACCCCTGGTTCCCAGTTCGCCATTGGGTGATTGGAGCCTGCTGGCTGGGGAAAGGAACCAAGAGGCGGACAGTGCACCTCATAGTGACTGGTTGAGCGGTCATTCTGGTCTTTCTGCCATTAAGGTCAATTTGCATATTACCCTTTTATTATATAGCATCATACAGGAGATTTTTATTTAAAACACCTTAGTTGGCCCTTTTTGACTATGTTTCATATTGGAATAGGAAGGCACTCTCTTCACCTGAAAAGGGCCATCTACAAAAACAAAAACAAAACCAAACCTACAGCTAACATTACACATTTACACTACACTTAGTGGTAAAGATTGAATGCTTTCCCCATAAGATCAATAGCAAAGCAAGGACATCTGTTTTCACTCTTCCAATTCAACATCTTACTAGAAGTCCTAACAAGTGCAATAAGGTAAGAAAAGAAAGGCATACTGGGTGGAAAGGAAGAAATAAAAACTCTCCTCACATGAAGACATGATCATCTATGTACAAAATCCAGGGACTCTACCTAAAAGGGGGAAAAAAAAGCCTCCTAGACCTTATAAATGAGTTTATCATTTGTTGTAGGCTACAAGATTCATATACAATATCCATTGTTTATACTTTCTAGCTATAAATACACTCTCCTCTCATGGAGAGATCAGCACAGCAGGTAATGGGGGGAGGAGGGGTTATAAAACGATACAGTAATTGCTTTACAGAGCAGAGGGTCCTCTGGGCTGAGGCCAGAGGATGAGAGAAGCCCTTGCCTGCTGGACAAGAGGCAGCAGGTCTAGGATTGCCAAGGCCCACGGCCTGATGTAAAGAGGGCGAGTGCAAAACAAGGGTGGGCATGCAAGAAGTGACCAAGGTGGATGTTGTCCTGCTGGCTCACTAAGCACCAGCTTCCTCTGCCTGCATCTTTTTTGCAGCTAAAGGATAGAGAATTGAGCACAGGACCTAGGAGGCAGACACCCCACAGGGCAATGGCTGGCTTGCTAATGTGCCTGCCTCACTGTCTGGTTCCTGTGGGCTCAGCAAATATTTGTTGTTTGAACTCAGATCTGTCCCTCTGGTTGCTCCCTGCCCGGCCTGGAGCAGGCCACTTTTCCTTTATGTCTGCTGCTTTTCATCGCAGAGACCCCAGCTGGAGTTCCCTTGTCACTTCCCCAGACCTCTGCTGGGAACGTGGCAGAAGTGATGTTTGCACAGCCTAATCTCTTGGAAGCATGACTCTCTGTAAATATAGTTTTATTATTAGAAGGCAATGAATTTTTAAAAAGTCAATTCTGGCCTTTTCCTCGTGACAGAGTATAACTCATGTCTGCTCTTTCTTCATCAGAAACCTTGCAGGCCCCAGCTCTGTGCTGAGGACCTGACTTTAGGTAGCAGTTAAGGCCACAGGTGCCCAAGGGGAGCCAGGGAGGTCCAGTGATGATGGACCACAGCTGCCCAACTCCAGGGGATGCTCAGGAATATAGGACGAGCGGGCTTGTCAAGAGAAGACAGAAATCGGCATTTTATGTGACGTCTCCTGAGTTTTAAATATTGTCCCCAAATTCAAAAATTGAAAAAAGAACACTGTGAAGGTATAACATGACACTTCTGTTTTCTGAGTTTACCTCCACCCCCTGCCCACCACCTGGCTTCTGAACTTTGGCAGCTTTGTCCTAAGGTCAGCTTTCAGCAGCGGAACCTTATTGCCAGAAGGAGCCCAGATCTTAAGGAAGTGAGCCTGGGTCACCGGGGAGGTGACCATATCTGTGCCGGGCAAGATATTTCAAACTATGGGTCTTTAACTTAATTTTTAACTCTACACTGAGCTTTCCCTTCACATTTCCAGTCAGAGGGCTTGCGCTAATAAGGTGTGTACTCTACAGCAATGACTCAGCCCAACAGGGAGGCTGTGGGTGAGGCACAGCGGGCAGAGCCTGTGCCGTCACATAGGTCTTGGTTCAAACCCAGCTTCTGTTGCCTATTGGCTGTGTGATGTGGGCAAGTCACCGAACCTCTCTGGACTTCATCTGCAAGAAAGAAATGGTCATAAATCCTATTTCAGAGGATGACTAAGAGAGATATTGCAAGAAAAACAGCAAGTGACAGAGTGACAGAGTGAAACGCCAGACACAGCATTTCCTACCCATCAGTGTCTCCCACTCGCAACATATAACCCAGGGGATGTGGAAAACCCTCTGGGCAACTGCTGGGGACAGGAAAATAAGGAAAAAGGCCAGAGTCAGCCAGCATTTGGGGCATGTCCTCCATTCTCAGAAGGTTGGTGATCTAAGTGGGAAACACACACCTAATTGGCCTCCTTTACTGATGGGATGAAATAAGCTTGCAGGATAGAGGTTGGGCCATGGAGGACTCAACCTTTGGCATTTACCCTCGGGCCCTGCATGGATATAATGTGATTCTTTCTCTTAAATAGAATTTATTTTCCTTTTAAAAAATATATTTTTATTGATTTCAGAGAGGAAGGAAGAGGAAAAGAGATATAGAAACATCCATGATGAGAGGGAATCATGGATTGGCCTGTAAGTCCCCCACTGGGGATCGAGCCCACAACCCGGGCATGTGCCCTTGACCAGAATCGAACCTGGGACCTTTCAGTCCACAGGCCGACGCTCTATCCACTGAGCCAAACCAACTAGGGCTTAAATAGAATTTATTTTCCTTCCTCCTCCTGGGCTTTTACTGGAGAGCTTGGCATGGCTTTCTCCAAGGCACTTATTACTCCATCTCATCTCTCAGTTTTCTATGCCAGGCTCTTCCCTCTCTCATGTCAGCTGGTGCAGGTCGGTTGGGCTGTAGACACAGTCTTCATCTCACTTGCAGCTCCCGTTTCCTCCATCAACTTGTCAGGTACCTGCCAAGTGTTGCTAAAACAAACCGAAACCCTGCTGATTAAGAGCTGGGCCAGGAAGCCAAGTGTCTAAATTCTCTGCTAATCCCATTCTAGCTCTTGGCCATGGCTAGTTTTTACATTCTTTTCCACTTTGAAATTCCAATGATATCAACTATTGACTTCACCGTAAGATTGTTGTCTGTCTCACCCATTACGTGACAGAGCAGAGCCTGTGCCACCACATAGGCCCTTACAGATTCATACAACTTCAGACATGAAACTTTAGAAATAATGGACTGTGAGGAATAGGAACTGGGTCTTTTTTTTTTTTTTAATTGAGGTAAAATTTACATAACATAAAATTAACCATTTTAAAGTGTACACTTAGTACACTCACATTGTTATGCAACCACCGCTTGTGTTTAGTTACAAACATTTTCATCATTCAAAAGAAAATCCTGTATCCATTAAAGTATACTTCCTTTCTCCCCAGACCCTAGCAACCACCAATCTTCATTCAGTCTCTATATTCTGGATATTTCATATAAGTGGAATCATATAATAATGTGACTTTTTGTATCTGGCTGCTTTATTTAACATAATGTTTTCAAGGTTCATCTATGTTGCAGTGTGTATCAAAACTTTATTGTAGTTGAGTAATAGTCTACATTTTGTTTATCCATTGAAGGACATTTGATTTGTTTCCAATTTTGGCTGTGGTGAATAATGCCACTATAAACATTTGTGGGGGACTGGGTCTATTTCACCATTGTATTGTCAGTTCAGTAGGCCTATAATGAATATTTATTAAATAGTTGAGTTAATGGTAAAAAAAAAAAAATCCTG